TGTGTACTTGTGTACTGTGTAATGTAAATAATAAATATCACATGATAATATTTTCTTACTATTATTAATCATTGTTATTTATCACAAAACACTTAAATATTATTATTATGTACATTTTATAAGTTATAATACTTGCTATTTACTACACCCATAAGTCAACCTACCTACATTGTATTAACAGGCGCAAGTCGTCGAGCTAATGTTAACACATAAACATAGAGCGTCAAATACTAAATCTGACATATACCTGATTCTTATAATTATCAAGTATATGAATTGATAAAATAAATATATGGTGCAAATTTCAAGTTTCAACAGCTATTCGTTTATGAATAACAACAAAATATGAATATTAGTACCTACCTACTCAATTTTTCTTAATTAAGTGAATATGCAAAATTATAAAAATTGGAAATCATATTTCAAAATTTACTATTGGTTTCAGTGAGCATTTTAAATAGCCAGTTTATGTAAATAATAACGTTTTAATTAGATATAAATAAATCCTAATATTTACCTTATACGTCAACAATATTAATGCCAATAATCGAATAGCCGGTAGTTTTAAAATGGCCCAAATTAGTGAATAGCTTTGAACAATGTTGAGCTTYACGTGGTCGTATTCTAATCTCCTATCTTTCTCTTTTTTGAAAATTGCAATAAATGTAGTTATTAATATAAAAATAATACCCCAAGTATAGAATAAACCTGTACAAATTAATAATAATTAGTAAATATTTTACATTTTGACAATCAGGCGTTATTGCTACCTATACGAATATAATCCGATTTATTACACACTAAAGATTTGCCAAAATGGGTTTCTTTCTAATGAAAACAAAATGGGTTTCTTAATAATAGCTCTAACTTGCTTACTCTTCAAAGTGAACACTCCTCCCACATCTGGTCTAATACGTAAGTGCTTGTTGCTAAAGTCTTCTGAGGTCAACAAGGCGGAAAATACAAAACTTATCATTATACCGACCGACAGACCGGTCATATTGCAAGTAGATTCATAACCCACGTTATTCCTGTGTGATATCAAATTTGTATCATAAGCACATATTATTCATCACGATACACTAATTTGAAATGATAAAACAGTTAACAATAACACCAACCTCTTGAGCATTGTCAGCGCCCAACCGCAGACGACCATATTTAGCGTGACAAAAACAATTTTCATTAATACAAATACGGATACCAAGTTTAGCATATCTGGCTTTTTGGTCTCTGACARCCATTCATCAATATTACCAGCCATATAAATGAAGCATGCTCCTGTTCAACACAAATAGTTTTATACAAGCGCATCAAACTATACACTACTGTATACACCATGCAGACAACGCTGCATCTTAAATCGTTGTACGCACGAATTTTTAATGAAAACTTTAGTTTTAATATTACCTAATATATTAATGAAAAATATTCATTATGTTTTATTACATATTTTTGCCTTTCTTAGTTGTAACATATCTTTCAAATGGTTGCAATTAAACACTTRAGCATAACGATTTTTAAATTGAGGTAAAAAAAAATGTTCAATTATAAAAATCGATTCGTTATCAATAAACACCATGCGTACAACGATATAACAGGTATTCCTAAACCCTGAACATTAAAGTGCATTAATTGACTTCAAATATATTATATAAMATTCGGTTTCATATGTTTTTAAAATGTCCAGATTTCATACATATTAAGCGTGCGTATACCACAAAGTGATAATCCCACTATTGAATAAACGTGAGTGACATTCATATAATATGAATAAGCTTACCCATCAAGTATTGGAGCGGTATGAGCCAAGACTTTCGTCTTCCAATCTTTTGTACGTACACCACGTCTACCAAAGGCGCCCATATCAGTTGTAAGCTATCCGGCCATGCAACTAAACTGAACATAGCCTGTAACAAAATATGACYACATTTATGTTTATAACACTTGTAGGTAACGGTAAAATATACATTTTTATCGTATGATATTAATCGGACGGGTACACAATATTTTTAATTTKWAATCAAATATTTACCTGATCCTTGTAAGACACATTTTTGTTGCTTTGTAAAATTATCGGYATTGCCAATGTCAAACCAAATGGTATGCCTTGTATCATATACAGCAACAATAATAGGAAAATATTCAACCAATCTCCTTTCAAATTTGGTTTCTCAGCTRAATTCGATTCATTAACTTCTGCCTCTGCTGTCATGTTTTCTAATTCATCTTCTAGCTGCTGTACCGTAGTCATGTTTATAGTTTGGTCTTCACGATTCACAAGCTAAACCCATAACGCATATACACTAAGCATAAAAAAAATTAAATTATTATTACAACCGATCACAGCAGTTTCCGTGCCTATACTGAAGTGTTTCTCGAAAACTAACTAAACTCGTTATACGTTTATTATTCAAATTCAATTTTAACATTATGTTAAGAAAGTAGGTATGATAATGTTTACGGCGAGGCACTGCGGTGTATACTGAATATTATTTATTTTCTCTGTAATTTATTATATTTATATATTGGATTGGATGTACATTGTACAACAATATCGTTCTTACAATCTAAAGGACATTATTAAAATATTTGAACATTAAAAAATCCAATATTTAAATATCAAGTGAAATGATTAAATAATGTCACGTAAGTATAACCAAAACGAGGATCACTTATCCTATTAAATACTACAAATTTAGCCGCTCTCAAAATAATATTACCTAGAATCCATAAAATATAAATAGAGTACAATAACATTTTGTTAATATGATTWAGATAATAAGTAATTGCTTATTTAATTAACATTGTTTTAGTCAATTAAAAAAGTGTTTTTTTTTCATTCATTTTGTAAGTCACTACTCAGTCAAAACTATTTTTTTTTTACTTTTTTTTTATTTTTTAAGTATCTTTCAATTGAAACATAATGGTTTAATATTGTTAATTCACATTATTTTCCACAGGTATAAAAAGTTACATAGTCATTTAAATAATAAATTGAAAAATCTATGTTTTCATCAATTGTTATGAATTTTGTTCTATAATACATTTTAAATAAAACAAAAGGTATATTCCAAATCCATCTGAAATAAATCCAGAAAATATTAAATACCTCAAAACACCTGGTTTTTAAGAAAACAACAAACACATTGTATCTCAAAAAATAAACTACCTACCTTGTAATAAT